ACTTCTTGAATGCTGAATTTGTGCATCAAATGATGTTTTTTATGAAATTTCAGGCCTATTTTTCATAAAAAATTCTATTTTGACACTATTTTCTGCATATATACTTGCTGATTGAGTATCCATTGGTCATATATGTTGCATTTAAGCTTATTTCTTCATTTGTTTTATGAGTACAACATGTATGGATGTCTTATGTAAGAGTTGTGTGCTTTTGAAGCATATAAAGCTAAATATGCAAGAAAAAACTAATCTGTACTTGCTGATTTTTTTTAGAAATCTGCACTACTCTTGCTGCTTTTGTCCCTTAGAGTGATCCATATGCTTGAAATTTGAAATGTCATTGTTTTATCTTGCTTGGGGACATTATTTTGAAGCATGCCATGATGTTTCTCTGCTGATTTTGATGTTTTAGGAGCTGAATTTTTTATAAAATCTGATCTGCATGGTTTTTTTTAAAAAAAATCTGCAACATCTTTTCTTGCTTTTCATGCTGAATTTGAGTTCCTAAGATGCCTATTTGCTGAATTATGTACTTTAAACACATGCATAGGAACTGACTTAGAGGTAAATAGCTTGTTTTTGCACTCTGAATTTGACCCTTATATGCTAAGTTTTGATGTCAAAGTGCAAAAATGCAGAAAACTTAGGTTCTAAAAACTGATTTGAAGTTTAAATTTTGCACTTAGAATCTGAATTTTGTTACCCAACTGAGCTTCAAGTCTTATTATTTATAGAAGTTGGAAACAGGAGCTGGATTCTTAATTTTAAACATTTTAATGTTTTAAAGAAACATATTTGCTTTACTACTTTATGCCTTAAGTGAAAATTTGTTTGCTAGTAGTAAACTGTGTCTAGCCAAAGATGTTAAACCGGGCAGCTTATGGGAGGCAACCCACCTACTTTTTTTTGTTATTAATTTAGTTTTTGCTATTATTTTCGTAAACAAATCAACAAAATCAGAAAATCAGAAAACAGAAAAAAATCAGAAAAATGAAAAAACTTCATCATCAGGAGTACACAGAATACTGCTGCATTTACTGGATTTAATGGTTTATTTTGCTCCATGTATGCTTCTAACCATTTATTTGAGTGAATATTCAAGATCTACTAAGTCATTGGTAGAAGCATGTCCTTTGGAGTAAAATCTGCACAAACAAGTGTGAAATCTGATCCAAATCAGTATCTTAGGTTTGGGCTTTGGTCTCCTTAACCCTTTTGTGTTCGAACTTTGGTTTTTGTTGGTAGAATATGCACAAAATCTGCACTTTGATTTTTGCTTGCAAACTAAATAGTATGCCTTTGTAATCTGATTTTTGGGCTTAAATGGTTAATATCTGCTTATTAATGTGCAAAATTCTGATCCAGATCAACGGTCTCAAGTACCCAATGGTTTCTCTGTTGTAAAATTTCATTTTCCTTAAGGTTTGGGTGTTATTGTATGGACATATTTAAGCTGAAAGTTGAGACATATGCATTGTTTACAACTGATTTTCGGCTACTAAAGAAAAGTTCTGCATTTTAAAAAGTTATTTTTGGACTTGTAAGCTGATTTTTTGAGTGCAAAATGCAAATTTTACACTTTTTACAGCTTATATGTGTCGAAATATAAAAAAATCTGCAATCTTTTCTTGGTGTTCAATCTGAATTCTGAGTTATCAGGTGCATATGTGCTGAATTATGATGTTTAATAGATGCATATGAGCTGCTTTGCATGTGCTTGACATAACTAACCTTCTCATATACAGTTTTCTGTTTTGAAAAGTGCAATAAGGCACAAGAATTGGTTTCCAGAACCAAATTTGAAGCTTGATATCTACATCCTTTAAATCTGATTTTTCTCTCTTCAAAGCTAAAAGACTTGGTCTTAGCCATGTTTTTGCAGATTGTAGGTCCATCGAGCACTTTAAGGAGGGAAAAGTGATGAGTTGATGCTGCGTATACTTTTGTTTAGTTGCATTTCCCTCTCCCCTTCTCTCTTTGCTAAGTCCGTGCTTGCTTAATATTGTCGTTTGCATACCATATAGATGCATCGAGGACTATGCACATTTTAAGTGTGGGGGGAGTTGCTCATGCTTGTGTCATTGCTTAAAAAAAACTTTTGGGGCAAATTTTTTTTCAAAAAAAATAGATTTTGGGTCCAATTATTTTTTCATTCGTAGTTGCAAATCTTCTTATTTAGAGCATTGTTTTCAAAATTGACCCAAAAACCTTATTGTTTTTCTTGGGGCTTTATTCTGAAAGATAGCAAGTGTATATTTTATAAACTCGCATTGAGTCTTATGCTCTTTTCTTGGTAAAAAATGACCTTAAAATGTTTGAAATCCTTCTAGGAATCCCGTAGAATTTTGTTTTCAAGAACTGGCCATTCACATACTATCTAGATGCTGCCTAATCAATCATTGCTTGATATTAAAATCTGGAAAAAAAAGAGAAACCAGTTTTAGGAGCCCTTTATTTTTAGAGAAATTGAGTGAATTTTAATATTTTCAGGCTTATTGATAAACCTTGCTACCGCTGCTATTGAGCCATTTTAAACCGTAGGATTCCGCTAGGAAACTTTTTTTGTAGCAGCTTTAGAACATTTGTTAGAACCCAAAAAAAATTCCACACCTGAGTATTCCATCGTTGTAGGATTTCTAGCTCACTTTGTTTTTAAAATGTGAATGAGCATAAAATCTTAAGTGTGCGGGTTTAAAGTTCACTTTGTTTTTTCTTGATGATGATAGAAATTAATTCCTCTCTTTTTGGTCTTTTGAACGAGGACGTTCAAGTCTTTAGTGTGGGGGTATTTGATAACTCGGGTTTGGGTTAGTACTTTTTATCCAATTTTAGACATTTTTAATACTTTTAAAGTTTAATTTTTAGTAGTTTTGTGTAGTTTTATTTTAGTTTCTATTTTTTAAAATCTTTTAATTTTCTTTTAAAAATAGTAGCTTTTTAATCATTTTTTTTATTATTTTTCTTATTTTCCCTAACCCAAATTATCAAATATCTTATTTTTGGAGAAAATTGCAGCAAAAGGCTGAATTGAAGTTCAAGTTTGAAAAGAACAGATTGATTTTGGGCCAAAGCCTAGAACAAACATAATAGAGAATTAGCCCACCAATCATCTCACTTTGTCTTCACGCAAGAAAGGGAAAAAAAAAGAACTGAGGATTGAAGTCTACGACTTCTTCCTCTTTGCGATAAACCAGCGCGGATGCTCCAACGTTCTTCCTTTTGATTCGCAACAATCAATTCTCAACGGGAAGAAATTAAAGGCTCCTTGCTCCTACTATCCTATAAATTGAAGGCAAATTGCACAATTCAAAGTGGGGAACAAGACCAGAGGGGAATCGTACCGAAATAACAGAGCAGCGGCTCTTGCCGCTGCTATTGACGCAACCCACCGGCGGAAATGCAGACGGCGGCCAACGACGGCTCGCCGGCGTTCTACGATGGCAGGTGGCAGCGGTGTCAGAAGCTCCGGCGACTAGTGGCAGTTCCTTCAAGCTCCAATTTTCTTCAATTTCTTCATCTTCTTCAACAATTGGTAACCCTATATTTGTCAATTTTTTTTCTTCTCCAATTTCTTTGTAAAAATATTGTTTCAATTCAAATTTACATTTTTTTGCTTGTTGTGTGAATTTAGAAAATTCCAAAATGGTTGGTGTTCTTTTATGGGTTTTTTTAATGTTTATATTAAATCCCTTATGAATGAAAATTGATTCTTACTAGTTTCTTCAATTTTTGCGCAAATTGATGTTAAATTGGTTGAATTATAAATTTGATTTCATAAGTAGGTTGGTATGTTGAATTTTGTTATCATTGAAGCTAATTTAGCTACATATTTTAGTTAAGTGATTCTCGAATTCATGCGTGAATCTTTTTTGTGACTTGTGTTTTGTAAAATTTTAAGGTAAATGAACTTCTTAGCCACATAAGTTGAACGTTTTCCTTAAGATTCGTTATAGAGTGATTGTTTATGTCTTGGTGTTCTTGTTTGTTATTTTCATAAAAATTAGAATTGTTTAAGCGCAATAAACAACTCTTGATTTAATGAAAATATGTAATGTTTTTTTTATGTGAATAGATTACAATTCTTATGCTTGAGTAGTTCAAGGAGACCTGCAAAATATTTTCATCATTAGACGTTAAAGTTTATTAAAGTGTATCAAATGTTCTTCATGAGTACTTTGTGCATGAGAGTTAGAATGAAAGAAAGATTCGCTCTTTTTTAAACTTTTTCATCTTTTGGAATTATTATTTGAGCGCTTGAGGTGAGTGGGGGTTCAAAGTAACCAAAAGGCCTTTGAATTTTTGACTCCGGGCCTTATAGAGAGTTGACGATCCTCTATATGTGGTAAAGGATATGAATCAACTCGAGCCTTTAAATTCTTTTCTATTCTTAAGTGCGTAAGTTACGTAATATATTGTCTAAGTGCCTATTATATGTGTAATGTTTGTTTTGTGTTCGTTCTCTTTTTAATTTTTTTTTGGGTTTTTGGTGGTGTTTCTTGGGTTACCTAAATTGGAGAAGTTGATTATCTTGAGCTTGTTTTCCCCCATTTTATCAAAAAACCAAAAAAATAAGAAAACATAAAAACCAAAAATATTTACTTTTCATTTAACCCCCCCCTTTTGTTTATATTTATATAAGTTTTTTACTAAGTTATATTATAAGTTCTTTGTTTATATAAGTTATATTTATAAGTTTATATATTTATTTAATTAAAAGTTTTATAAGTATTATCATTTATGTAGTAGTTAATTTTATTTTTTAGTGACAATGTGTTTGCATGCTAAATTGGTTTTCAAAAATACAAATTTTCTCCGTGGGATCGACCCTTACTTGCCCTAGCTATAGTTTTTCTTTGATTATATTTTGGGGGTTAGTTAAGGATATTTTATAAATTTTTAATTTTTTTTGTACCACACGACAAGTCCCCAACAGTATCAAGAAAATATTTCTATAAGGGAATCTTTTTGGGTGAATAAAGAGGTAAAACGTCCGCGAATATCAGTGAAAGAATTTGTTGCATTTCGATTACATGAAAGGGAGAATGATGGAGGGATTTTGTTGAATGCGCAGAGATTGTATTTACAATTTTTAGTTGATGCATACACGATTGTTGAAGCACAAAGAATCCAGTGGTTTAAATATAACCAGGATCAATTTAGAGGAGAGATGATGAGTGGCTTAGAGGAATTTGTGATCAGAGGTGATATTGAATCGGAAGCCTCTGGACAACGAATTATCCTACCATCTTCTTTAACTGGCAGAATGAGATATATGTTTAACAACTGCCAAGATGCAATGGCAATTGGTAGAAGATATGGTTATCCAGACTTATTCATTACTATAACGTGCAATCCGCAATGACCAGAGATTGCAAGGTTTATGACAAGAACCAAATCTAAAGCTGAAGACAGACCAGACATTGAATCTAGAGTCTTCAAAATGAAACTTGATGAATTGGAGAAGGACTTAAAAAATAGACATATATTTGGTGAAGTTATTGTAGGTAATTTTTTGAACTTTAGAATTTTAATTCCATTTAAATATAAAAAATTAGTGGTATGTTGGACATTAAATATTAATGTAACTTTAATTTCTTTAAATATTTTTTTCAGGTCTGTACACTGTTGAATTTCAAAAAAGAGGTTTGCCTCATGCACATATCTTGATATGGTTACAAGCGGAGGATAAACTCCAAATGCCCGAGTCAATTGATCGTGTCATATGTGCAGAGTTGCCAAATAAAGAAAAATACCCTAGATTATATGACTCGGTGACTCGATTGATGATGCATGGTCCATGTGGCGTAGATGATCCTAGATCTCCATGCATGGATGAGGGTAGATGCAAGAAATTTTTTCCCAAGAATTTTGTTGAGAAGACAACATTTGATGATAGTGGTTACCCAATATATAGAAGAAGGAATACGGGGGTCACTACCGTGAGAAAAGGCATTGAGTTGGATAATCGATTTGTTGTACCATATAACCCAGAACACTTAATGAGGTATCAAGCTCACATCAATATTGAATATTGCAACAAATCTATTTCAATCAAATATCTTTTTAAATATTTCAATAAAGGTCCAGACAGAGTAACCGTTGGAGTTACGCAATCTAAGAGTAACGTTGCCGATGGTGCGATGTATGATGAAACTTAGAAGTACTACGACTGCCGTTATATATGTGTCTGCATGTGAAGCCACTTGGAGAATTCTAGCTTTTGATATTCACCATCGGTGGCCAGCCGTTTTGAGATTGGATTTCCATCTACCAAGACAGAAATTTGTCACCTTTAAAGATAAACAGAAACTTAAAGATGTTGTCGAACAGAACTCTGACAAACCTTCGATGTTTGAAGCTTGGATGATTGCTAATACGCAATTCACTTCAGGACATAATTTGACGTATGCTGAATTCCCTGGATATTTTGTGTATAACAGCAAGGAGCGGAAATGGTTCCCGAGGCAACAAAGACCATCAATAGGCCGCTTGCAGTATGTGCCAACAAGAACTAGAGAGTTATACTATTTGAGAATACTTTTAATGGTTCAACGAGGATGTAAAACGTATGAGAGCTTAAGGACGGTTAACAATGTTATACATAACTCTTTCCAAGAAGCATGCGAAGCATTGGGGTTATTAGCCGATGATAAGGAATACATTGAGGGAATAAAAGAGGCTGCTGAACTAGGATCTCGAGGTCAATTAAGAAAGTTGTTTGTGTAACACCCGCCTTCTGTAGACCCGGTTCACCCGCGACCCAACAGACCGCTAGGGTTACATGGGCAGTCCGAGAACCGTCCGTTACAAAAACATTAATGGTTATTTAAAAAGAAAACGGTTAAGTTGTAATTAGTGAAGTAAATGCCAGGGAGTTACTCCCAAAACGTGTGTAATAAATAGTGCAGAGTAAATGCGGAAGTAAATAGATGAGTCCAGTCCAAATTAATATCGACAAAGGTGGGTTCATGCCCAAATGATTAATTAAATTTATGAAAAAAATAAAAGCTCGTCCGTGCGCCGCTCATCTCTCCATCGTCACTGCTCTCCAGGGTTGGCACCTGCACCGTCATGTCTACCTGCGTGTAGCAAAGACAACTACACGCTCAGCAAAAGCTGAGGAGTGAATCTAACAAAAGAACATTAAGTGATAACCCATATGGCTATACACATATTAATACCTGTACTTAACGTACGGAAAACCACATGTTACTAATTGTTTAGTTTCCACCTGTTAGAGCTATTACAATTAACAAGGTTATTGGAACATACATGATTATGATATGACTTGATGCATGACTTGAACTATCTGAGACACCCCTGACTTAGTCTCACTCGACAGGATCACCCCTGCACTCCGGTCATTGTCCCCGAACGGTAACGAGCCGGGCACGACAAAGATGTCGTGAGTGGACTAGCAAAAACCGGGTAGCAGCCGTAGCCTGACTACTATGTACGTACACAAGCCCAACATGATGAAAACCCGTTGGACCCCAAGGCTTCCTGGATGGGCCCGCTGTTGTAGGCGTACGAAGTCCTCCCTACAGCGGTATGCACATGATGAAACCTAAGACATGCGTCTAGTATGAACATGATGGATGCTTGATATTTTTACCTTCGGTAAACGCCGAGAATATATTAATTGTATAACATTTAAAATAAAGATTAACTTTTCGTGCAAGAAACGATCAGACTCTGGGTCAACGAGCTCGTTCTACAAACTGCCCGGAAGGCTGCCCGCAAGACGGTCGACCGTACCCTACCGGCGGTCGACCGTGGGCTGCGTTGTGGAGAACTAAATGGCTGACGGTCCACCGGGATCTTCCGTCATGGCCGGCGGTCGACCGTCACGGTGGTGACCGTCGGATTAGCCAAGGGAACGGTCCACCGTCCTTAGCGGCGGTCGACCGTCCTAGAGGCAGTCCGCTGTCCTTTGCTCCATTTTGGTTCGTTTTGCTAATTTAACATCTACATTCTTTTAGAACCATAACATAACATTTATGAATATATTCCTAATGATTCCCAAGCCAATATTTATAAGTTTAACGTAATGGACATTTTGGTGGTTAACCTACAAACATGCATAGATTCTACGTAGGTTGCGTACGATATTCTTATGGTTATAACGACATAGATTATAACTAAATGTTCTAGAATTAGAGGGAACAACTACTCACCTCTAAATGAAGGGGTTGACGGAACGAGATGAACGAAGGGTGCCAACGAACGAACGAACGGTGAACAACGTACGATTCCTAATGTGAACTTCTTCTCTTCTACCTTCCCGTCTACTCACCGGAAAACCTCCTGGAGCTGCTCTGGCCTGGCCGAGATTGTGCAAAGGAAAGAGGGAGAGGAAGGGTGTGAATTATGGCTTGGGGGTTACAAAATTGGTGAAGGGGAAAATGAATCGGAATGAGAGTTTTAAAATGAAAGAATTGATGGTGAGTGATGAGGGAATTGATGGGGAGTTAAGGGGAATGCATGGAGTGGCGTGTGGATTGAAATTGGGGGGTTACACATATTATTTTGCTCCGTTATATAAAATCTGACCTGAACAATACGCGCTTTTTCCCCCAAACGGGTCCGAATAGAGATCCATTTGCGTTTCTAGAATCAGACAGTCAAAACGAATATAATGATATGATCAAATAATTTTTCTAAGAACTTTTCATTTTCCCCAACTCCGGTCCGGAACAGTAATTAATTATTTAAAACAATCAATTTTGTTAGACCGGGTTGCAGGGCGTTACAGTTTGTCACATTGTTAGTGACAAATACCATGAGCCGTCCTCAAGTTGTTTGGAAAAAACATGGGAGCTCTTAGTTAATGGAATTTTATTTGATAGAAGAAGAACATTGTGTAATCAAGAAATTTTTATGAAAACTTATTTGTTTTATTATTTATATAAACAATAATATGAAATTAATGGCATCTATAGAAAACTCTATAATTAACATCTTTGTCGAAATAATTTAGTCTAATATTATCTTCTTTTTTTCAGAACTTTTTATCTCCCAAGAAGATATAAAGAACTTGTGTTTGATTGAGATTGAGAAGTTACGTAATTCAAACGGGCGTTCCCTAAAAGAGTTTGGTGGTATGTCATTTCCAGATGACAACCCACTCAATTGATTCCAAAATAACTTCTTGAGCGAGGAGTTGAACTATGATAGAGAAAACTTATCATCTGATCTTGGACAATACTTATCTATCATGAACGAAGACCAGAGGAAGATATACGACGATATAATGGAAGTTGTGACAATTGAAAAGGGAGGTTTCTTCTTTGTGTATGGTTATGGGGGAACCGGAAAGACCTTCCTCTGGAAATCATTATCCGCTTTTCTTAGATCAAGAGGAAAGATTGTTCTGAATGTTGCATCCAGTGGGATTGCAGCATTGTTATTGCCTGGTGGAAGGACTGCACACTTTAGATTCTCAATCCCATTGGCGCTAACTGAGTGATCAACGTGTGCCATCAAACAAGGGAGCTCGAAAGCTAAATTGATCTAACAAGCAAGTTTGATCACATGGGATGAAGCATGCATGATGAATAGATTTGCTTTTGAGGCTTTGGATCGCACAATGAGAGATATCATGGGGTTCTCTAATTCTAAGTATAATAATGAACCATTTGGAG